ATTCTGTGTATGATATGGTTCATGCTGGAAGTTTCTAAAAAGTTACAAGAAGAAAGAATATTTCCTGGGGCTCTGGCAACCCTCTTAAATGAGAGAAATGAATATGAAGCTGTTCACAGTGGTTACTTCTGGGTTAAGTGGGGGGTGACACCTTTAGTATCTTTTTTTTAATTACCTACTTAAAAAATTCAATATGCTCTGGAAGAAAGCCTGTAGAAATCCTGTGGTCCACCAGGTAGGGATAGTCCCAAACTATTATAAATCACATGAGGTCTCTGTATAGGTTTTTAGAGTAGATTATGACTTCTAGCTGATGTCCACTTTTTTCCCAGCTCAAGGAATTCTTTATGACACCCAACCAAGATTCTTCTAAATCCAATTGAAAGTTGAACATAATGTTGATGCTATAGAGCTTGAAGGAATTCTAGCAGGTTAAAAGATCTAGCTTAGAGATGTACAGTTTGGAAAGGTTCTTAGAGAAGCCAGTCCCATTCTTAAATTATTGAGTCCTGTCTGGCAGTTTCACTAGCCAAATGAGCATTCTCTCTGCTTCTGTTCACCTGCTCTGTCCCATTTCCAGACTGATGAGAAGCAAAGTACAGGCTAAGTGGTTATGTATTATTTTCTTCCCATGAACAGGACTTAAAAGAGGAGATTGATATCCGACTATCCAGGGTTCAGGATATCAAGTATGAACCTCAGCTCCTTGCAGATGATGATGCAAGACTGCTACAGCTGGAAACCCAGGGAAATCAATGTAGGTAGCATGCTCTTGGAGGACACTCCAGTGAGGAGTTCCACAAATTCAGAATTCCTTTACTCAGGATGGTCAACATAGCTGCTGGTTTTGCCAGTGGTTTCTTGTTACTGGCTATATGTTAGATATGGGAGGCATTTATTGGCTTGCTGGAGTTTGGAGAATCTTTTAAGGGTTATGCCTGAGACCAGTCTCTTTTCTCAGCAGGTTGCTACAACTACCTATACAGGATGAAAGCTCTGGATGCCATCCGTGCCTCTGGTAAGGGCTGCTTGATGGCCATTCAGGATCCTGAAAGCTCACCTGGGGAAGAGAGGGAGGAACCCATTTTATACATTAGAATTTGTCATTTCTGCACATCCCTGGATAGTAGGAATTTCCTAGAGTTTTGAGAATACTGGGTTACTATTTTACCTAAGGAAATGATGTAGGCAAGTTATTTTTTTTCTCCAAAAAACCTGGATTTGTTTTGTTCTCTCTAGACCTTTAGTTTCATCAACTGGATGATGGTAATTGCTTGTTTTTCCACAAAAGACAGGCAACACCTGCCTTTTCACTAAGCCTACATAGAGGGTTCTTGAGTTTTTTTCCATTCTATGACCACTATCAAAAATGCTCTATCTCTACCAAAACGTAGGTTAAATCTTAAACTATGGGTAAGAGGGCACTATCATGTATCATTGATACAGCTTAACAGTTGTATTGCCACCACCATATGACCACCCAGACACAGCTCTGTATCTTTAGTCATTTTTGTTTTTCTTTTTTTTTAATTTTTTAACATTTATATTATTGAGTTATAGTCATTTTACAATGTTGTGTCAAATTCCAATGTAGAGCACAATTTTTCAGTTATACATGAACATACATATATTCATTGTCACATTTTTTTTTGCTGTGAGCTACCACAAGATCTTGTATATATTTCCCTGTGCTACACAGTATAATCTTGTTTATCTATTCTACATTTTGAAATCCCAGTCTGTCCCTTCCCACCCCGCTAGTCTTTTTAATTCTTTTAGAATTTCCCCCCAACTCACTCATCGGCCCATTTCTAAGTTTGGGAAATTAATTAGAAAGACAATGAATGAAAAAGGGGGACTATCATTGTTCTGTTATCTCCACAGAGATCCCATTTCATGCTGAAGGCCGGCATCCCCGTTCCTTAATGGGCAAGAATTTCCGCTCCTACCTGCTAGATCTTCGAAACACTAGTACTCCTTTCAAGGGTGTGCGCAAGGCGCTTGTGGATACACTGCTGGATGGCTATGAGACAGCCCGCTATGGGACAGGGGTAAGCTGGACGGCCACTTACTCCTCCGAAGAGCTAAAGGGGTTCCTTAGACTGAGAGCCTCATTCTTCCTTCCTCTTTCTTCAGGTCTTTGGCCAGAGTGAGTACCTGCGCTATCAGGAGGCCCTGAGTGAGCTGGCCACCGTGTGAGTTTGGAGGGGAATGTGTCAGATGGAGCTGGTTAGAGGATACAGGGGTGCTGGACTGTTCCCACAGTGAGATGACCTTCAAAAGCAATGTGAACAAAATCTGTGATAACAGAGTTGTCAGGTCCTAGACTGTTAGAGCTGCCTCTCACTCACATTGGAGAACAGATACTGCTCTACAAGCTGACAAGAGAAGTTTCTCCTACTTTTGTGCTTGTACATCTGTTTCTTTTGTTGGCTTTTGGCTTTTGTTTTTATTTTTCCAGTCCAGCTCAGTAAATTGTAGGAATTGGTGTAACCTATCACACCAATAAAGGGAAAAAAGTGTTTCAGCACACAAAGATTCCTTCTCTTCCAGGGTCCCAGTGTCTCCTTTTATGTCATGGTCTGATAAAAGTAAGAATTACATGCTGTGTTTATTACCACTTAAAGTATCAGTAACCCTGTTTAAAATAAAAGATATCACTAAAGAGTCAGCTCTTCAGGGTTTGTGTTATAGAAGAGGAAGAATGACCTTTGTCTGGGAATGTTTTAAATATGCGCTCATAAAGCTTCATTATGTTCTTTATGCAGATGTTTAGCTGAAAAGGTAAAGAGGTAAAACCAACCTAGAATAAAAAATTAGTTACCAGCCATGAAAAGAATACATCTGTTTTCTGCTTTGTCAAGTATGACTTTTTCTCTTAAGATAAAGAGTTTGTCTGTTCTGTCTTCTCTCTATTCTTAAAAATAATCTAGCTTGTTCTAAAGACAAAAGGTCTGGTAGAAACTACTTAGAACACTAATGAAAATGCACATGTGGAGAGAGTGGAAGAGGACGTGTGGTCTAGAAATCAGGCAGGAGGCCTATTCAGAATTCGGTTTCTTTTAAAGATACATATTGTGTGATTCCATTTATGTGAGGTACCTAGAGTGGTCAAAAATCATAGACACAGAAAGTAGAATGGTGGTTGCCAGGGGCTGGAAGGAAGGGGGACTAGAGAGTTGTTTAATAAGTAGGGTTTATTTTACAAGATGAAAAGAATTCTAGAGGTTGGTTATACAACAGTGTGAATGTACTTAACAGTGCTGAACTGTAAACATAAAAATGGTTAGGATGGTAAATTTTTATGTATATTTTACCGCGATTTTTTAAAAAAATTCAGTCTCTTTGATTTTTAGTATGTAGAAAATTTCAGTGGGTATAGTGAAGAATATAGGCACTGAAATCTGACAAACTTAGGTTTGAATCCCAGCTCTCTGTCACTTACTAGCTTTGTGACCTCAGGCAAGTTACTTAATGGACCCTCAGTTTCCTAACCTGCAAAATGGGGATGATAACCACCATATAGGTGGGATGTTAGTAAATGAGATGTTAGTGAAGTGCCAAGTTTAATGTCCTAACGTGGTAAGTATTCAGTAGTTACTTCAGTATTATTTTTTGGTATTCAGTTGTTTCAAGGGACTGTCTTTGGACTCAGAGTATATTAGTGGCATACAGACATTAGGTGAATCAACAGAATTAAGTTTTCTTGAAGGATAGTGAGATGAAGACAAGGTTGAGCCAGAGGCAGGGACTCAGTGGGAGAAATGGTTTCTCTGCTGTTTCTAAGCTACTGGATGGGATTTTAATAGCTAGTTTATAAAATAGGACAGAGACCATTTGTGGCTACAGTTGCGTTTATAGAATGGATAAACCTTGAATTGTTTTCTGTTAGTCCTCATTCTGTCCATGATCTGCCCTCTCTGTATTCTTCAGGGTCAAAGCACGAAGTGGGAGCTCTCAGCGACAACATCAGTCAGCAGCCAGAGACCTAACCCAGTCTCCTGAAGTCTCCCCAACAACCATCCAGGTGACATACCTCCCCTCCAGTCAGAAGAGTAAACGTGCCAAGCATTTCCTCGAATTGAAGAGCTTTAAGGACAACTACAACACACTGGAGAGTACTCTGTGATGGAGCTGCCGGGCTCTCACTGCTGCTAGAGCCAGATGGACTGCAGTGTGCTCGCCGGGTGACCCTCAGGTCTGGCTCAGCAGCCCAGACTGGATCAGCTGAAGGTCCGGCTGTGTTCAGAACTCAAGGTGGATCATGCCTAGAGGATCATTCCCCCACCCTTTCTTGTGGCCAGTTTCAGAACATTAGTTAAGACTTTATTTTCCCTTGGTAGCACTTTTCTCTGGAGTTGAATTCAGATGTTTTTTCTTAATATTTGTCAAAGCTTCCTTAAAAATCCTCACTTGGTTTTGGTCATGGTTCATCTGCCCTTTTCCAGACTATAAATAATCCCGAGAGTGAGAGCTGAGGTGACGGGGCTTGGGTCTTGTCCTCTGTATCTACCCCTTTGTACACGGTTGAATGGGAACCATTTGGGTGTGAGAGTTGATTGGTGGGAAAGGCAGACAAGAACTGATGGGGAGGCTGGACGAGGCCATGAGTGGTATGTGGAACAACTCACCCTGGGGCTCCACTTAAACCAGGATGTGTTGAAACATTAACATAGCTTCCCTGGTGTGCAAGGATCTACTTTCCACTTCCATTCTATACTGTCAGGAATAAATTGAAAAGGTAATGTTTTGACACCTGACATAACCCACCCCCCTCCTCATTTGTGAGATAGTGTGAAGAAATGGTCAGACCAATATACTAGTCTGACTTTATAAATTATTTAATAAAATGAACAACTGAAAAATTAAGCAAATGAGTCATTCCTTTACATTTGGTTTTTAATAAAACAGGCATATGATATGCTCTCTGGACCTAGGATCGTATGGACACTCCTTTGGACCCCAAAAGAAGAAATCCTAAAATTGGGACTGTGGTCCTTGCTCACAGAATTGCCTGTGTCGCAAGTAGAAGGCTGGAGAGCTAGGATTCCCTTCAGGTCTCCAGGGCAGCAGCCCAGGTGACCAATCAAGTCCTGGGCCTAGGGTCATTGTTGGAGGCGCAAATGTTGCTATGACTACTGAAACCTCGGTGACTAAACTAAACAGAAAGGAGAGCCTGCTCAGTCTTCCAAGACCATGTCAAGCAAGTCTGCAGACATGTCTGTGGAAAAGATGGTACAAGTAGAAGAGGTATGCAGAACTGGAAGAAGGGGCTGGATTGGAGGAGTTTCCTGATCGATTTACTGGAAATGGTTGGTTTCCTGAGAGGCCCTTGATGTAACAGGAGGACAGTAACAGGAGTGGGAGACTATGTCTGGCACATAGTAGGTATTCAGATATTTGTTGCATACCAACCCCTGCATGTTTCCTTTGATCCATTCTGAAAGGAGTAGGACTTTCTCCCCACCTCCTCTAGGAAATTGGCTACAGCTTCTCTCAAAAGAGGAAGGTCTATGTGTCTCCCACTACGTTAGGGTACTGGGGGGGAGGTACTGGAGATCAAGGCAGGTCAACAGAACCCCCCTTTTCTTGCAGAGTTTACAAAGGGTCCTGGGACTTAAGAAGATGGTGGACAGGTAATCTCTGCTTCTATCCCTTTCCTTACCCTACTTGACCTTTTTACCCTCCTGTCCTCCATAAGCCACCTCTCAGATCTGCTCCAAATTGCTAGGGGTCATCAAGAAGGCAGACAGGTATGGAGGGGACAAGAAGCAGCCCTTGCTTCACAAGCAGATTGCCCCTTGCTCCACAGTCCCTGAAGGAAAATTGGAGCAAGTTTCTGTTGTTTTCCTTTTTTTATTTTTTAAGGAAAGTTCAAGTATTTGTTGCCTGGCATTGTACTAACCATGTGGTAAGTATGCAGTATTAGTTGAATGAATGAATGCAAAGATTCAAAAGACTAGACTATAATATCTCCGTCACCTGGTGAGCTTTTGGAAAAAACACAGGTCTTCACCCAGAAGATTCTAACTTAAATGGTCTGGGATTAGATAGGATAAGCTTGTTTTTTAAAGCTTTACACCCCTGTTTTTAAGGCACCCCAAGTTAGCAAGGATGTAAGTTATCAAGAATGCATACAATTTTGGTGGTAGTCAAGAGTTATATAGTCTTTTTATGAAGGTAGTTTGATGAAATCTATCTAAATTTTAAATTCACATGTCCTTTGAACTGGAAACTCTACTGCTATTTACATTATACACATGGGTGCAAAAGCACTAGAATGTACATACACGAGTATTCATGACAGCATTGTTTATAAAAGTGAAAAACCTAGACGCAATGTAGCTGGTTAAACTGTACAAAAGCACTAGGCAGCCTTTAAACAGGATGAAGCAAATGAAATGGAATGAAAGTCCAAATTGTTAAGTAATACTGCTTATGTAAATGTATGATTTCATGTTAAAAAATTTAAAAGATACACTTGCTGGTATATGATAGAAGAATTGTGAAACTGTAAGAACTGCAAGAATTTTGTTGAGAAAGACTGGGGCAGAAGAATGAAGGTTTCACTTTTCATTTAGTATATGTTTCTGTATGGATTTAACTTTTCAGCCCTCTGTAAAAAATACTTCATTAAAAAAATGTCAACAAGGGTTATCTGAACAGAAGATAACGTGTGTATATTTCTTTAATGTATTAATGAACGTTAACAAACGATTCTGGAATGTGTCTAGCCAGGATTGAGTATCACTGGTATGATGAAAGACATTAATCCTTAGATTGGATTTGATACCCGGGTCTGCCATTAAGTGACCTTGAGCAACTATCTGAACTTTTAAGTTTTCCCATCTGTATAATGCAAATATTAATATCTTCGACACATGGTTATTATGATGATTAAATGACATAATATACTTAATATATACTAGGTTCTAAGCCAGTTCTAGTTACTCTTTCAAGGAGTTTGCAGTCTTCTGACACTGGCACAGAAGTTCTGGTGAAGAAACAGCCTCACTGATGGGGTTTTTGTCTCCACTCCTAAGTCTAACCCATTCCACCCCTACTTTTATGCCTCCAGCAGGTGGCAAAATTCACACACTTACTGCCTGTGGCAGATGACATTAAGACAGAGGAGGAACCTGTATGCTATCCTAAGGATGCAGGACACTATGGCACAGGAGTTGGCATTGGCCAACAAGCAGCTACTCATGGTGAGTACTAGCAAGGGTGACCTGAAGTTTCATCCTGTACTGCCCAGGGCCTTTGCCCACTTGGATTCCCAAGCTCTTCGTCTCTGCCATTACTCACCTCTCTTACTTGCCTCTGAGGTTTTCACCATTACACCAGAGCAATAACTCTTTAAAACCAACGCTCTTTTTCATTAACTAGTTCATTGCATCCAGCTGCAGATGGCACATTCTAAAGTCCCAAAGTGCAATCTAGTTCCTGCTCCTCTCATCTTGGTGAGACTCAAAACTGCTTCTTAGTGCCCAGCACCTGCCTCTCAGAATCTCTCTCTCTCCCTGGAGTCCCCACTTGCTGTCATGTCACCATCTTTGTATCCGAGATGTCTAGAACAGTTTCTGGTTCACTGTATGTTCTCAGCAAATATTTGCTGAACATAGGGCTTCACTCATGGAGAAAAAAAAAATGAGTAGGCTTCCCCCGAGAGTTCAGCCTCTATGCTCCTGCCTAGCTTTATGTCACAGCTAAATCCAGATCCCAGGAGAACACGGGTGATGGGAAAGCAACCAGGAAGAAAGAATGAGAAAGGGGTGTAAACAGAAGGCAAACGTCATGCTGTATTCTGCCCTCCCCACCAGGTCCGTCAAGCCGCCCTGCACCAGCTGTTTGAAAAGGAACATCGGCAGTACCAGCAGGAACTTAATCAGATGGGCAAAGCTTTTTATGTGGAGCGACTCTGATGGCATTTGAAACATCGTCTTTCCATTCTCACCATACCTGCTAACCTAGCCTTCTTGAGCCCCTACCACCTTGAACTTCCTTCCCCAAACTCACCCAGATCTAGTTATCTGCTCAGAATTTAAGACTGCTCCCACTCTCACCTCTTTCATATCCATGTCAAACCCCTGGTGCTATTTGGGAAACGATCTATGACACAATGGTTAAAAACAAGAGTGACGCCTTGTGGTCAGAATGAGATATGCAGTGTTGATGTAAGCACGGGGAGAGGAGGCAGATAGATGGACAATGTGAGCAGAGAATCCTGATTTCATTTAAGAAATAAAGCTAGTTCTTAAAGATTCAAACTTAGATTGCTGTGCTCATTCTTTCAACCCTCTTTATCTGTTTCAAAACTGCTTATTCACAACTGCCATAATCATAATATAGCTTCCTGAATTTCGATCACCACCTCTCAGATCTCACTTCCACGGATCTTTTCTGTGTACTTGGACAAATAACTCTGAATGTGGTTATTAATCCACAGACACTGTGGTGCTTGCTGTCACGAGGCCTGGATTTTAGGTTTTGACTCGGCCAGTTATTGTGAGACCTAGGACAAGTCTCCTTCCTCTGGATTTCTGCCTGAATTCCCACCTCTGCAAAATGACAGGTCTCCAAATTCAAATGCCTTCAGGGGTCAGGCAGGTAATAACAGCAGGTGTAAGGAGATAAGAAATGGTGGGATTAATGGGGGACTGGAAAGAACACATTAAATCTAAATGCATTCAAAATTTTGAAAAGTACTAATTAATCATGGCCATCTATAGGCCACAGAGAACCATACTTATAAAGATCCAGTTTACATACAAATGACATCTCAAGCCAGAGAGACTCCCATTCTGCAGCCAGTAACAGTTGCAGGAACACACCATCGCTCTTGCTGTCATCTCCATCATACCTACTTTTCCCTGTTCTCTCACCTTGCCGTCTGCATTCTCAATGGTTACTCATCCTTCCACACTGATTGATCATTTCCTGCTCTTAACTCCATGTAGCTCAGTCTCCAGTGCAAAACTGACACCCTTCCTCCCCCTCCCCCAAGTGCGTGTCTATCCTTCAAAACGTGTTTTTCATTTCAGCTGTCAGAGCTTCCCCCTTTGCTTCCTACACACCCCACTGACGAGCACAGAGAGGCAGCAGGGTATATAGGGAGGAGCACCCGCTTTGGAGTCAAGGGTGGGTTCAGAGTCTGACTTGACCTGTTAATTGTTGTGTCACCACATACAAGTTACATCTCTGAGCCTCAATTTTCTCCTCTGAAAATGAAAATAATACCTGTCTCATAGGATCATTATGAGGATTAAATAAGGTAATACATGTAGAGAGCAAGCCTGGTACTTGGTCCCCAGTAGGTATCCTCCCTTTCCCCCTTAGGAGGTTTCCTGGTGACCCAGGTCCTTCATAGTTCCCCGGCTGGCCCCTAGCCAGCCCCGTTTTGCAGCTCTAATGTCATTCTCCATCCCAAGCCTGTCTTTCTTTCTGTCCTATATATATCCATTCATTCTCCAGTCTCCATCAGCCCTGCTTCCCAAGCCCTCTTATCTTTAGTCAATAACTACTCATGAGTTGTTACACCAAACAAAACATGGAGCTCACAGGCTGGTGGGGGAGGCAGGCATTGAACAAGTCATGGCAGGTATGATGGGAGTTTTATAGGAGAGAAAACCACACACATGTGTCCTGGATGTGACCTGTAAAGCTAAGACTGAGTCTCCCATTCCTGCTTTCTCTTCCCTGCCCTTCCCGTGGGGCCATCACGCCTCCACTTCTTTCATCTTCCCTCTTTATCTCCCAGCCACCCCCTGCCTCTAATGTTTGTGCAGCATAGCCTGGTGTTAGAACAGGCTTTCACAGGGCAAATCTGGGTTTGAATCCTGACTGCTACTTATTGCTTTTGTGGCCTTGACCAAATGACTTTAACTTTCTGGGTCACAAGGGTTTTGTTTTGTTTTGTTTTGTTTTGTTTTGTTTTGTTTTGTTTATGTGAAATGGAGATAATACCTACCTCATTGGATTACTGTGGGGATTAAATAAAACACTTAGCAGAGAACTGACATATAATGTCCAATAAATGGTAACCCATAATGATGTTTTCCTGCCCTATGATAGTTTTCCTCTTTTTGTTTCCTCTCTATTACCTGGCTTCCCCCCACCTCCTACCAACCTCCCTCACCAGCCCCTTTAATTCTTCTTTCCTCTGTTCATTTGGGCCCACAAAATGCTCCACCCCGTCTGCCTTGATCTCTGACCTTGGCCTCTCTCCCCAGGGCTTGTCAGTGTCAGGTTGGCTCCAGTATTGGCAGGCTGGCCCCCTACAGAGCCCATCTCCTGTGATCCTCTCTGCCGACTCTGTCCACTCTCATCACATCAGCTGAGTAGTTCACCCCATCATACCCATCAGCTCCCTTCCCCTCTGTGACTGGTGCTTTACCCAGCTCCTCAGGCTCAAAAGTGCTCAGCCTTATTTGAAATGGCTGCACAGAAGGTACTTCCAGGAGAGCTGGAAAGCTTGCATCAGAGGCCATCTGATGTTTCCACCTAGCTATGCCATCCTGTCAGTCTCCTCCTAAGAGAGCTGCTCCTCCCCTACATCAATATTTCCAGCCTCTGGCTCTGTTTTCCGAGCTCCCCAAACACTGAAGTCCTTTCAATTCCTACTAATCTCTTTCCCAGACTCTCTCCCTCCAGCCTTTGGTTCTCTAGGGTAGTTAAGCTTCCCAGAGAAGGGAACTAGAACTTGGAGAGGGCTGGGGAAGGGAGTAGTAAGGGTAAAAAGGAAGGTCAAGAAAGTAAAATTACAAACTGAGAGCCATAAAAGAACAAGGACATCAGGCAACACCACAGGTGCCTATCTTGGGGCTTGAATGCCCATTTGTTCGTCTTCCCCTGGAAGGCAAGAGCCACACAATAGGAATTGACTGGGGCTCGGGACAAGCTATTGATCTGGATCAAGGGCACTGTCGAGTTGGCATATGTGTTTGTGTGTGTGTGTTGGGGGTGGGTGTCTGGACTAATGGGAACAAGGACACATGGAACAGGCCTGGGGGCTGAAGCAGAGCATCCTCCTCCCACCCCCACATTTCCACCCAAGCCCCGCACCCAACCAGTGCAGCTATAACTCAGGCTCCTTTCTGCCACAGTAGAGAGAAGCATCTGCCCGCCACATGATGTTCAACAAACCCGGACTCTCTTCAGAAGAAAAATCTCCCAGAAAAGCAGGCACCAGGCTGGATCTCTATGAGGGAAGACCCTTAGAGAAGCCAGCCCAGGAGCTGTAAAAAGCCCTAGAAGAGGAGGAGAGTCCTAAGGGCTGCAGGCTGTTTCCTGGCAGAGGGGGTTTCTTCCCCCACCTCGATCTCCTAAAGTCTTAGTTTCAGTTCTGCCAGGCAGGAGAGACCTAAGTCTTCTCTAGAGCCTGCTAGTGAGAGAGGTCCCTCTTCTCTTCTGGACATCCAAGATGACTTTGAGGAGGATGCCTGGAGGACATGGGGAGAAGGTGAGAAGGGATAAGGTGATGGGAAGAAGCAGCCAAGCCTTCTGGAAGTTTCTCGCGGTTACTTATCTGTAGTACTTAAGAGCAAGAGGTTCCAGGCTGGTGTCCTCTGAAAGGCCTTCGGCAGCCTTGTGGTAGTGGTCTGGAAAGGTTAGGAGCTCTGTCGCAAAGGTAAAGCAGGATGTGCAAACCCTTCACCCCCACTCCCGGAAAGCCTTGGGGCAGCTGGAGGGGAGCTGAGGAGACCAGGTGGCAAGGTTGATGAGGAGCTGATGACATGTCTGATCCTCTGGGCAGCAGGGCCGTGACATCAGGCGGAGAAGCTCCGTATGGGAGCTTTGGGGAAGGATAGGTGCCCGGATGTGGAGCCCTGCCAGATAGTCTTCCTGGTTTAGGCCAACGTGATCCAGCAAAGGCCAGGCACTGGTAGGAGAGGAGCCAAGACAGGGATGGCACGAAGAGCAGAAGAGTAAGAACTGGCTGTCTTGGGAGGTAAAGAGCAGGGGTCAGTGCCCTTCCCTAGGGAGATGGCTCTCCATCTAGCCATACTCGGTGGTTGGTGTCTCTGCTCTGTCCTTTCTTTGCCGTGGGGAGGAAGGCAGATGACCAGCAAAGCTCTCCTGCCTGCTTCTGTGTGATATGTTTGATATTGGGTTGTTTAATTAGGAACCAACTAAATGTCAAACATATTCTTACAGCAGTAGGCAATTTGGCATCACACTCTTCCCCACCTCATCCTCTGGGACTCTGATGCTCCCGTCTTTGTTTCTGAACCTCTTCGCTCCTGGACCCCCTTGGAAGATCAGTGTCTGCAACCTATGTGGATTTCCGTCTTAAGCTGGAGGGCTAGTGTGGGAGCAGGAGAGAGCTGGAGTCTGAGTATCAGATCTTCCTATATCTTTCCTCTGTACTAGAAGGGATATATCTCTGATCTCTTGTCCTTGTATTTTTCTTCTCTTCTTCAACACCCCCCACCCCCTAACTATCCACTGCTTCCTGTCCAGAAAACTGTCCTGTTCCGTAGTCCCACAGTAGAGGTCTTTGGTCTCTCTGCTTTCCTTCAAGAATCAGCTGACGGTCTGTCTGCCTATCTACCTCTAGTGACTGGAAGCTCTCCGAGCGGACTCCAGTTTTGCCCTCTTCCCAGTGGGTGTTCAGTCACCTCATGGTTGGGGCCTGGTATTAATACTGCCCTTCTATCCTTGACATAATGACAATCAGAGCCATTTATGTTCTTTCCTGATAGCTCTGGTCACCTTCAACAGCACCCATCTCCCGCCTGGCATGTACTCAGGTTGCATGGTGCCAGTGTCTGGGACCAACTGCCACCTGCCAGTAAAGGGTTCAAGTAGAAGAATGAACATGGCCTGGAACTAAGCCAGGGAGAATAGAGCTGGTAATGATGATTATGATGATGAGTAGAGGCAGTTAAGAGGGGAGCAGAGGGTGTGAAAAAGAGGAGAGCAAGAGTATAAAAGTTCTATTTAAAGATCACTATGGGGAAATGGAGGACATGATCCTATCTGGATTACTCTGACTGTCCTCCACTTTTCTGTCCCCTACCACCCCGACCCACGTGAAGCACTGGGATAGCCTTCCAGATCCCAACCCTACCCTCTTACTCCGTCCCTGTGGCTCTTAAGGGGGAGGAATGATGTCTCCCTGCCAATTAGAGAGTCTCAAAATAGCACAGTAATTTGATCTGGGGATATGGGGGAATTGTCAAGGATCATGAGTAGCTGCCCCTCCTCACTTGCTCAAATTCCCTGAATACCAGGAGTCAAAAGTTTGATTAGCATCCAACACTAGCTTGGGTGAGAGTAAGGGGGAAGCTGAAGGGCAAGCAGGACCTTCTGGGTGAAAACTACTGTTCTAGAATTGCCAAAGTACCCATCTCTATGTCAATGTTCTACCCCTCCCCCTCCCTGCTCTTTTAAAATACCCATAGAGCTGCCCAGAGTGAGTGGAAAGTCACTTCAGGGTCAGGGAGAACCTTTCCCCTCCCCCAGTTTCCATTGTCTAAAATCAGCCTCAGCTGTTCGTAAATTTTTCTTTGCTGGTGATGTCAGTCTATCAAAGTGTCTCACCCTGTGTTCCCCCGAGAGAACAATCGTGGGGTGGAGGGAGCTAGAAAGACCATATTAGGCACGAGAGGTGGAGCCACAGGCATAGATAAAGGCTCAGGTCTGGGGAACTAGTCACTCAGCTAGCAGCTCCTCCTTTCTTGCCTTAGTCTCCAGTCCTCCAGTGTTCACAGGTGAGCTCACCAACGGCCACTGCTCACAATGGAGGCCATCAAGAAAAAGATGCAGATGCTGAAGTTGGACAAGGAGAATGCTCTGGATCGGGCAGAGCAAGCTGAAGCTGAGCAGAAGCAGGCAGAAGAACGAAGTAAACAGGTAGGCGTTGGCCTTGGTCTCTCTCACCTGCTGGTGAACAAGACTGTGAGATGGAAGAAAGTTTTCATGAGAAACGCAGTGACCACTGGTAACAGTTCATCCTTTGGGTGAGAGGGACTCCTCTTCTTCCCCAGTCTCACTGGATAGGCAGAGGACATCTAGGGTATGTGCCTTAGACTGCCTGTGTGACCTTGGGGAAGTCAGTGGCCCCTTCTGAGCCACCGTATGTCTGCTGGATTTAAGTGGAAGTGGATCGTGTTTTGGGAAGAACCTCTGATTTTGAGAGGAAAAGATAGGAGCTTGGCATGTAGCATCTGTTTTCCCTTAAATGGAGTCACAGACATCGACACCCTAAGAAACTCACCATCCCAGTATCTAAATGAAAAGCATGGCTTGGTCATCTTAGGGTCAAGGTTCACAGAGTCACAGGCCAAGCCCATAGCATAACTTCTGGGGCGGTTGGCTGAAACTGACTAGGGAGAACTCATGTTTCTCTGAGGATGTGCCCAGGGGTCTGTCAGGGCTCAAGACCCCAGGGTCTGAGTCTGCACTGTTGTGTATGTATGTCTTGTGTGTGACTCTTGGGGCTTCTATAGCTGGAAGATGAGCTGGCAGCCATGCAGAAGAAGCTGAAGGGGACAGAAGATGAGCTGGACAAGTATTCTGAAGCTTTGAAGGATGCCCAGGAGAAGCTGGAGCTGGCAGAGAAGAAAGCAGCCGATGTGAGTATTAGAGAGATGGGGGAGGGGTGTTGAATCCACACACATAGATCTTCACATTAAAATGACTAAATTCTAAGCACACTTGGACACATAAATACTTGTGGATTCACAGAACACAGACATAGACACCCACATGCATTTTTTCATATAATCACATGCTGGCATACCCTTGTCATGGCATAGACTTTCTTTCTTAAAGACATGTAGAATTCTTATGTTTCTCACGCCCAACCCAGGAATTTAATTATCTTTCCCTGGACTTGGACAGAGGGAAGGGACTCTAAGTCCAGACTGCTATCACTTATCCCACCTCCTCCCCCATGCCACATTCTTAGCTTTTGTATCCAAGGATTGGCACGTAGATATGTGTATTAATAGGGAAACTCTCATCTCTCAACTGCCCAGCAAAGCCAGCTCAGATTTCACAATGGTACAAAGGAGGTCACACTGACCCTGGCCCTATATGGGTTTATTTACCTTGGCTAGTGTGGGTATCTGCCCTTATGCCTCAGAGATGTCATAGGGAGCTTTGTTTATAGGGCAGCAGAGAGGATCTTAGGATGACTATAATAGAAATAAGAAGGACTCTCAGAGGGTGAAATTATCACCACCAGAACTTACACTGTGACCTTGACTAAATCACTCAGCTTCTCTAGGGCTGAATTTTCCCATTTGAAAATGAAAGAAATTCTCTTATCCACTTCACCTTAACTCATAATCACCTACTTTCCTTCATCTTCAACCTTGAAGTTTACCACAGAGATAAATGAGAGACTACACAGAAAAGATTTTTGGAAGAAAAGTAACACAGGAATCTTAAGAGCAGCAAAAGGATGTTCCAGTATTGATGGAAATATTTGCTATCTAGCCCTTTACAGAAGCAGTTTCTGGGGGGAGGGTATAGCTCAAGTGGTAGAGTACATGCTTAGCATGCACAAGGTCCTGGCTTCAATCCCCAGTACCTCCTCTAAAAAAATAAGTAAATAAACCTAATTACCTGCCCCCTGCAAAAATGTCTGCATCTTTGAGGGGAGGGTGCTCTGTTGAATACAAAGGAAGTTCACAGCTCAGTTTCTACTCTTGAGGTTAATAAACAAGCAAACAGCATATTACTCTGTTGTGGATATAAGGGAAAGGGAGGGAGGAAGGAGTCAATAACTGCATGTTTACCCAGGGAGTTCTGGGGATCTGAGAAGCCTTTTTGGAAAGCATAGGGTTTGCTGGGACTCTTTGAATCAAGAAAGGGCAATGGTGTGGCAAGATCAGTCAAAACTCATCTGTTTCCTCCCCAGTTCATCTAAGGTCCTTTTTGTTTGTTTCTTAATTATGGAAAAGTATACATAAAGATTGCCATTTTCACCATTTTTCAGAGTAGAGTTCAGTGGCAGTAAGAACATTCATGTTGTGCAACCATGTCTAAAGTTCTTTTAACCTGAGATGAAATCAGAATCTGTTTAGGGTGAAACAAAGGGAAAGAGGAATGCAATGGTTAGGACATTGAGTCATAACACCCCTTTTTAAGGACAGGAGGTGGGGCGCGATGGGGAAAAGAGGGGCAGGATGGACATATACACCCGTTGATTTACTGTTGTATTGTTGGTCACTAGGAAAACAATAGCACTGGGCCCCTTGCTGCCCATCCATCACACTTTTAAAGGCCGTTAGGAGTCAATCCACCTGTTTTCCTGAATCAAGAGGAGATTATCTGTTCAAATCTACCAGCCCCAGGAATGCAGTGGTGCTCTCAAAGCTCCTTTGGGTTGTCCAAGATGAAGTCTTCTGCTTCTTCACTAGGGCAAAGGAGGGGTGCAATAGTGCCCTCTGCTGATCAGCACCCAGATGACAAAGTCTCATTTTTGTTTCCATAGTCCCTCTCATCAGATTTCTCCAAAGAGTTGGAAAAGTTCTTAGGCCATCAGGGTAGAGTTTACTGAGGCTGGTTTTTCTTTCCAATTCCTGGGTAGGGGGGATCAAAGGGTACCAGTTACTCTATCAAGCAAATTATTTATTTGTTTCTGTTTCCTCTGAATAGTCTCAACGCTCAGTATTTCTAAATGGAGATAGGAAGGCAGAGCCCCTGGTGGCAGTGTCCTCAGAACCAGGCATTGAAGGCTGCACCTGTCTTACCTATCAATCCTTTCAGGGGTTAGGATTCTTAATTTTAAATCCTGCTGTACACCCTAGTTCTCTAGGGGAAAAGACAGCTGTACCACAGGAGAGATATTACTATTACTTACTGAGAAGGTGGAAGGAATACAAAGAAATAAGAGGGAAGAAAAACATTCTCAAGTCTCTTTACTACTGTGCTTTTAAAAACTTCATGGAAATGCCTAGAAAAGTTAGACAGTTTCTAACTCATAAATAGCTCCTTGGAGTACCTGGAAGCAGAAGTGACAGTGAAATTGGTGAAAGCTATAACACAGATGGAGGCTGAGTTCCACAGTACTGTAGTTTTCCAGGTACTCATACCTTGCTGTTGCACAAAGGATCTGGTAACAATAGTCCTTAATAGAGGATTCCTTCCTGTTAAAAGGGGGGCATAAGATATTTTCCTCACCTCCAAAAGGAATTGTAGGAGATGATTAACTATCAAGTCCTGAATCATTCAAGGTTTGGAGAGGCTGGCAGGTTGGTAAATCGCTGGTGCACATTGACTCTCAAAAGTAACAGAGGAAAAGACCAACATTCTAAATAGAACACTTATGTTTCCAAGTGATGCCAAATAGAATGAGAACTTTGCCAACCTGCCCATCTCTTCACCCTCCCATGATTCCCTTCGTTGACTTTCAGAAGATGCAGAGAACCTACTTTAGCGGACCTTAAAAGGAGGCTGTAGGGCAGGGCTCTTTTGAAAATGAGGCCCAGAAAGTCTAGGCTCTTCTCAGCACCTGGTTTTGGAGCCTTTGTGGGGTGGGTGGAAGCAGAGGCTTGTAGGATGTTTATATTGTAGAGAGGATACAGGGTGCCCTGGCAGGAAGATGGTGGAGGATCAGCATTGGGGGAGTGAGGGGTCAACTGCGGGTGTGTAACGGCTGCAGAGACCAACCATTGCGGGCAGCCTGTACTGTGGCTGGAGAGGCTTAACCGAGACGCGCCTTCCGGTTACCATGGTACCCTTTCCTCTTCCCAACCCCGCCCCCCTTTACTGGCCCGAGGGAGAGGCTGGGAGCGGTCGTCCAGGGCGACTGAGAGATCTCGCCCCTCGGGCCTCCCTCCAGTGGACTGCCTTCCCGCCTGCCTGGCGGTGGGCGGGTGCGGTGGTGGTGACCTCACATCCGGGCGGGTGGGTGAGTTCCGGTATTTCAGGGCGGAGCAGGCGGAAGTAGGGGTGAGAAGCGGCTGCAGCGCCGAGCGGAGGAGGCAGGAACCCGAGCGCTAGCAAGAGCTGGGTGGGCACCATGGCTGGGATCACCACCATCGAGGCAGTGAAGCGCAAGATCCAGGTTCTGCAGCAGCAGGCCGATGATGCAGAGGAGAGGGCCGAGCGCCTCCAGCGGGAAGTGGAGGGAGAAAGGCGGGCCCGGGAACAGGTACGGAGAGGACGAGGTGCATGAGGGAGGGGCAGGCGCTGGAGCAGATGGGACCCCGAACTGGGTCCTGTTTTTTGCGGTGAAGCATGGTCCTTATGGGCGCAGCATACTCGCAGATGAAGTCGGAGCCCGGAGGCTGGGTGGAGCTTAGCTTCAGTTGGACATCGAACAGGAGAGGGGGGAACTGGGTGCTTCAGCGAGCAGGCTTGACCTTTGAAGGAATTGAGCCTCATGGGGCCTGGAGAGTGGTTTTCCTTCTCTTTTCTCCCAGCTCATTCATTCAGCCCTTCGGAGCCGGGCGCGGCCGGGGGAGGGGCTCAGGGGCCTCTCCCTCCCCCACTTCCGCGTAGAAGGGAGGGGGGACCTTGCTCTCGTTTGAGGTTTCCGGCCCAAGGGGTGAGAGTAGGTGGATGCCTCTCTGGTCTAGGAGGGGCAGAGCCGAACTTACTGTGAAAGGGTGGGGGTTGGGGGGGGCTGGTAGCCGCCGGAAAGCCCCCGGCCTGGCCTGCTGGCAGCTTTTCCGCTCCCTCCTCCTGCTCAGGAAATGAGGCAGCAGTCGCCTGAGAGGAAGCGCGGTGCCCTCCCTGGAGGAGGTTGAGGCCACAGCACCGCCTCCTATCCTCCGGCTTGGGGCCCTTTCCTCTTAAGGAGAGACCTTGCAACTGCTAAACCCACTCCTTCTGTTGACGTGAAGCGGGAGGGGAGGAGATGGCACTTTATTCCCTATGTTAGTACAAATGTAGGAGCCAGCCAAACTTGCCCAGCTTCCATGATGACCGGGAAGGCAGAAACTTATGCCAGATTCAGGCCTTTATTGCTGAAGTGTGAAGAGTGCAAGCTGAACCGGTTAAAAACACTTCTTCCAAGCAGAGCTGATAAGTGGGTGTATATGGCAGAGAATCTGATGGAGTGCCAATTTCTGCCAAGGTTTCTGGTTGATGGAGACAAAATGATGAGTTCCGAGGGGTCTCTAAGTGATGTTACTCTGATACTTTCCCAATTGTCCACCACAGCCTTCCCCCCCCCCCAGTTCAGTAAGTATTTGTTCAACTGAAAGTTGAAACATGAAACATTAATGGAATGAGTGGTGATTCTTGAAACCACTTTCATTTTAGAAGTGGTCGACTAGTTTTAGTAAGCCTTATATAAGATTTTCCAAGGTCTAGGGTGCATTCTATTGGGTGGAGCTGATTTAAGTTGAGGCTTTGGTTTTGGAGGATCTTGAGGCTGGAGGGGAAAGTAATTTGCTAAAATTTGAAGACCTAATGAAAGAACTCTTGTGGTTTATTGGTATTCCTTGTTCTTTCCCTTGGTAAGTTGGTTCTGTTTGTTTTCCTTTTTGGCCTCTCCTGTGGGGAGTGGCTGAGAATGTGCTTTGGGAGGGGAAGGGGAGACAGCTGCCCTCCAGGTAAAGATTATTAGAATACTCTTTTTTTTTTTTAAACTGGGCATAGAAATGCTTGACACTTGTCTTCCTCAGTCACCCACTTCTCAGTGGATTTTTCCTCTGTTCATTATGCCACTAACTTCTAATTATAAATTCAAGTGAGATGGACTGGCTGGGTGACTCTTTATGACTAGTGACACTTTCTCATCTCCCTTGTTCTGGAGACCAGGTTCCCTTAAAGGGCAAGACAAGATGGCTTGAAGGAACTAGCCATGTATTGAGCTCCAGAGTCTTAGGCTCAACATTTGAGTATGGACATCCTGGGGATAGTTCTAGGGTAGATGATGTCCCCCCTCCATGCCCAGGATTTGGTTTCCCCCCTAGCATGTCCTCCCCCACTCACCCCAAGATTTGGTAGTTTCCTTGCAAGAAAATTTATCTCCTTTTTACCCCACCCTTGGTGACTCTGGGGTGATAGGCAGCAGAGGGAGCAGCTTGAGATGTTTTCGTCACTCAGAGCCTGCCAAATTTGCTTATTGGGCTCAGTGAGGTCTAGTGAGGAAGTCCTCAAATGGGGAAGTAGTATGATAGTTAAATATTTATGAAACAAGTGTCTTCTCTTCAGCTTGAGAGGGCCTAATCTTTTGACTTTCTGCTCTAGTGAACTTTGAATTCCTCCTGAAGAGACACCTGTGGGAAGGGAGGGGGGTGCTTGAACTACCTGTTACCCTCTTAGGGCATTCTGGAATGTGGGTTTTGCAGGCTCCTCCCTTCTGGAGCTGGAAGCTCAGCACTCCCTGATGGTATCGCATGCTGTTAGTGGGACTGTCACTTAATTACTTTTCTGGTTGCTTTGTGTGAACGTCCAGCCCTTGTTAGGAAGCTGAAAGAGTCCAGAGCTGAGACTGAGTTGTTGTGGAATCATCTGTGTTTTCTGCCCTTGGCCTGGAGACTGACCTTTTATAATTTAGTACCTTGTCAAATCCACTTTCGATTTTGAATCTTCTTTGCACATTTTTGCTAAACTGAAACAGACTGCAACATAATATTTAAAAGTAGTGTTTTTTTCTTATCTGGTTTGTGCGTGTATGGTGGTGGTGGTGGTAAAAATACACATGATGTTAAATTTACCATTTTAACCACTTTTAAGTGTACAGTCCACCTTAGCTTTTCAATACCTGTAAATCTCCCTGGTATTCCCCACCCCCTGCCTTTTTTTCTGGTCCAAAATTTAGGAGTACTATTGGAGGGAGTGAGTAGGCTTTCAACAGCAGTTTCGATTCTGGCCTTATTGCCAAATTCCTAGTGTGCAAGGGGTGGGTGGTGGTGGTGGTGGTTAGAATGTCTGACTATTGTGTGGCTTGCCTATTTGTGGGGTCTGGTGGGCTAAACAACAGGCTTTATCACCTTACTTTGGTTTAGATTTGCTTTCCTGCTGATTACCTTTCTCTTGCCTTCATACTAGAGCACATACTCATAGGGGAGAGGCAAACAGCCCTTTGCTCTGAGTGCCTCCGCTTAGACTCCACCTTTGTTTACTTGCGGACAGATAGCTCTACTCCCTCCCTTCTAACTTCCATCCCCCTTGATGAAATTTGAAGTCCCCAAGGACACAGTATCTCCCTGGGTAGATAAATTTGTGAACACGGTGAACTGGAGCAGTCCTTTACTCACAGGGCTCAAGCCTTAACTTTGCCTTTACTCTTTTCCTTTGAATTTCATCTGTGGCTTTTGTCTAAAAAGAGAAACCTTAGAGTGGCAGAATGCCAGATTTAGGCGAATCCCCTGCTGTCCTTGGCCCTCATCTGCCTCCTAGCACCAGTGAGTGCCCTGTCAGTTTCTTGCCTTGATGGCTATGACATGCTTTGGGAATCTCTTCAGTGTAGAGGATGGTACCATTTAAACCAAACTCATTTCACTACTGAAGCTGTTGTCAGCCATCTTCTGATGTGACCGAGAGCATGCTGTGTCCATCCCCTGCCTTGGGATCTTTGCTTCCTGGGCAGTGGAGAATCCTGTTATTACCTGAAGGAAGGACCTCAGAGTGTACCTCCAAGTTGGGCAGAGGTGGGCGGGCTGAAAGATCAAAACCACATCTAGGCAAGCTAAACCTAGAATGATAAAATAGGATAAAGTTAATGTTTCCCAGGGCCATGTTTCCCATTCTGATTTGCAGAAGTTAGTCCCACTCAGTCTCTTGGTAGGACTTGACTGACCTGAAAGGGATAAGCATTGTGCATAGGTTCTGGCTTGAAGGAAAAGTCAGGTGGGTGTCTTCCCTTACTCCTTCAAACATTTAACAGATCTTGATTCTGTAAGGTCTTTCGTTTCATTGTAAAGAGAACTGATACTGATCCTTTGTGGGAGTAGAAAAAAGAGAACAGTAACTGCCTTCCTCCCTTCCCCACCCTCAACACCACGGGGTCTCTGATGCTTTTGCTGGGACTCCCTTCCTGGGTTCTGCTTTTGATACAGGCTTGTTCAGTGTGCACATGCTCTGGTTAGGGCACAGAGATGTGTTTTCTCCTCCTCCCTTTTCAGCCTTGTGAAGAATTCTGTTGTATATGCTGATTTGTGGGAGAAGCTGCCCTAGCCAGCTTGTTGTCATGGAAACTGTACACCCCGCCCCCATAGCTTGTCATCTTCTGCTTCATTTGGATAACTACTGGTGAGCTGGGTGGGGACTTGGGTTTCAGAAGCTTCCTTCAAATCTGGGTCCATGCTTCGCTTTTTTAGTTCTAGGCACCTGAAGAGGTGTGGGGTGGGATAAGTCACTGTACTGGCAGTGTTTCATAGTCCTTGCCTGATAGTGGGACTCATTCTCCTAATCTTGACCTGTCCTTGGCCTTTTTGGAGCTTGTGAGGTGAAATGTGTGTTGTCCTAGGGTACACCTGTTTTCCTGAGACAGGACCAGAGAATACTTGTCTTTGTGCCATTTTGAATAGAGACACAAACGATTT